TTGAACTCAGGAGGCTGAGGTTACAGTGAGCTGGGATAGTGCCCCTGCACACCCTAGCCTGCTCGACAGAGTGAGACTCTGTCCCCTCCCCCCCAAAAAAAGGCTCAACAACATTAGTCAGTAGGGAAATGCAAATTAAAACCACAATGAGATACCACTTCACACCCACCAGAACAACTAACATTAAAAAAAAATGGACAAGAAGAAGTGTTAAGCAAGAATGTGGGGAAATCAGAACCTATATACTGCCGGCAGAAACATCAAATGGTGGAGCAACTTTGGAAAACTTCAAAAAGTCAAATGTAGAGTTACCATATAACTCAGGTACCACTTTTGGCTATATATCCAACAAAAATGAAAACGTAAGTTCACACAAAAAATAACATACAAATGCTCACAGAAGCATCATTCGCAATGGCCCAAAATGGAAACAAACCCAAAACCCATCAACTGCTAATAAACAAACATAATGTAGTATATCCAAATAATACACTATTACTCTGTCATAGAAGGGCCAAAGGGTTCATGCTATGATAATGAATGGACCTTGAAAACATAATGCTAAATGAAAGAAGCAAGTCACAAAAGGTCACATACTGTATGATTCCATTTCTATGAAATGTCCAGAATAGGCAAATCCTTAAGGACAGAAAGTAGATTAGTGACTGCTAGGGGCTGAGGGACACAGAGGGAAAGGAAGCTCCTGCTAATGGATACAGGTTCCTTTCAGGGTGATGAAATGTTCTGGAATTAGACAGTGGTGATGGTCACTCAGTTTTAACCACACCATGGCCAGGCGAGGTGGCTCACGCCTGTAATTCCAGCACTTTGGGAAGCCGAGGCGGGTGGATCATGAGGTCAGGCATTTGATACCAGCCTGGCCAACATAGTGAACCCCCGTCACTACTAAAAATACAAAAAATTAGCTGGGCATGGTGGTGGGCACCTGTAATCCCAGCTTCTTGGGAAGCTGAGGCAGGGGAACTGCTTGAACCTGGGAGGT